TTCGTTTTTTCGGCGGTTGGGGCCTTTCCTGATGGATTCCAAGCGCTTAGTTCTAGTGGGGGACTGGAATGCCTTCCTGGACCCCAAGATAGATCGGGGGCGGGGTGCTAGCGGGAGAAGGGGCGACCGGAGCTTGGTCGATCTGATCAACGATTTTGGTCCCGTTGATAGATACCGGGCCGATCACCCCGGGGGGAAAATGTGGACGTGGGCTCTTAGCTGCCCTTGCGACAAGGTGGTTAGCTACCTTGGCAGAATGTTAGTCAGAAGGGCCGACATAGATCTGTTAGATTGTCCCACGTTCCACTGGGTAGGCTATACGGACCACAAACTCGTTTGTGCCCGTGTGGTGTTAGATCATAAGCCTAGAATGGCTGGTTACTGGAAGTTCAATCTGTCTTTACTGGTCAGGCGGGACTTCCAGGAGCAGCTAACTAGCTTAGTGCAGCGGGATCTAGTGGGGGCGGTTATCGGGAATAGGTGGTGGGGAAGACTTAAAAGTAGAATTAGGTCCTTCACCACTGATTTCAGCAAGCGGCTCGCCCTAGATAGAGCTGATGAGGTGAGGATGCTTAGAGCTAGTTTTTCCCGACCGGTGGCTGGAAGGGGGGGGATTCCCTAGAGATAGCCTTAGCTAGGGAGGCCGTGGAGCGTTCGAATAGCGAGCGCTACATGGGCCAGGTAATTAGACATGTTAAGCAAGATGCCTTCCGAAGCTGTGAATATGGGCGCAAAATTGCGCAAGGAAGAGGTCCGTCGAGGTGGCGATCGTTACATTCGTGAAGTGAAAACTCCGGAGGGACGTACTCTTCGGGCCACTAACGACGTGTGCGAGGCGTTTCGGCGACATTTCGAGAGCCGGTTTACCAAGGAGCCTGGTCTTCGTGAGGACGAGTTTCGCAGCTATTTGGCTGACTTTCCTCAGCTTTCGCCGACTGGAGCGGCTAGCTGCGAGGGAGAGATTACGGAGGGCGAGATCTACGCGGCTTTGAAGAAGGTCGGCAGAGGCAAGTCGCCCGGTCTGGAGGGTTTGCCCTATAAATTGTACTTGAGGCTGTTGCACATCTTTGTCCCGATTTTGACTGTCGTGTTCAACAACTGGTTCCGGCAGGGGTCCATCCCCGACCAGTTTTCCAGGGGTGTTATCACGCTGTTGGGGGGCACCTAGACGATTACAGGCCCATAACTCTGCTAAACACAGAGTTAAAGATTTTGGCCAAGATCCTGCAGGAGCGTTTGCAGTCAGTTGCCAAGTCTCTGTTTGGACCTGAGCATACTTGTTCTGTGAGGGGCCGAACAATTCAGAGCAACCTGCATCTGATCCGCATGATCATAGAGGGTGTAAAAGACGACGATGAGGCCGCACTGATCAATTTGGATCAGTCCAAGGCATTTGATAGGGTTGACCATCTCTACCTTGCTACTGTCCTGCAGGCCGCCGGATTCGCACCCGACTTCTGCCGCTGGATTAGCCTCCTGTATCGCTCCTCCAGTACTGTGGTACAGGTGAACTGGAAGCTGTCGGGCGCTTTTGCGCTGTCTAGGTCGGTCCGTCAGGGTTGTCCACTGTCGCCCCTCCTTCGCCGGCAGAGGGACGGGGCGTGCCGTCCGGCCCTACGCGGAATCGCCGTTCCTAGCAGGGATCGAGCCAGGGTTTCTGCGTACGCCGATGATGTATCTGCTTTCGTGTCGTCCCGCAGCGACATTGGGGCGGTACTGAAGGCGCTTGATCGGTACGAAAAGGTGACAGGGGCCAAGATTAACCGCGACAAGTCGTCCGGCTTGCGGTTAGGTACCTGGAAGGGGGTCGATCTTCCGGGCCGCTTCGGTTGGACGGACGGTCCTGTCCGCATTCTTGGAGTGTGGTTTGGGCCCGACCTGCAGCTGGAGAAAAATTGGTCTGAAGTACGAGCAAAGGTCGATGCTGCCGGTCGGACTTGGCATCGACGGAGGTTGTCCGTGAAGGGCAGGGCGAAGGTGTGTCCTTTATCGATTGTCCGTACTTCCTCTCTGTAAAGGCCATCGGAAGGCGCTCGAGCGCTCGCTAGCCTCCACTTTGTAGAGGGGACGCGGGAATCGGGTCGACAGACGAGTCTGTGCACAACGTCCGTATGATGGGAGGGCTGAGAATGCCACACTTGGTAAGCCATTGGCGTGCCTCGAGGTTGGCTTTCCTACGCCGCGCGTTGACAGGTGGAGATCCGATTATTGAGGGGATTGTGAGGGCCGCGTTCTCTCGCCTTACTATCAGTCCCCCCATCTCGCTGGTTGAGCGCCATCATAATCCTCGGGATCAATCGGTTTTCCTTCGCGAATGTCGTTCGGCCTTTTTGGCTATTCCTCGGTCCAGTGACCTTTCTCGGCTTAGGAAGGTTTTCTATCGTTTGTTAGTGGAGGGGGGTCGCGAAGGATTCCCTACGTGAGGATCTCAAGTTGTCGGAGGAGGAGTTTCGCTCATACTGGTCTTGGGAGCCGGCGGCGGATTATCTCAGTAACCCTGAGTTTTCGCTGACCTGGCGATTGGCTCGGAATCGGCTGTCTCTCAATGACAAGGTCTTCATATGGGGCTTGGCCGATTTGCCAGACTGTGAACGGTGTGACCTTGGTTTAGAAGAAACGGCTTCGCACGCCTTATACCATTGTCCCCGGGTCCGCCCCCTATGGGACCATGTCGGCGAGCTGACGGCTCGTCTCGCTCCCGAAAAGCTTGTGTCCATTGATCGCGCATACGCGTGTGACAATGTGTCGCCCCCATATTCCAGGGTGGAACGGATTGTGTTTCTGACGCTGCTAGCCACGGCTCGAATGGTGATTTGGATGACGCGAACGGAGGAAGTCTTGCGAAGTAACCGTCTTTCTTATCAGGATCTAATCCGATTCTTTGAGCATCAGCTCAAGATGAAGATTAGAACTGATAGAAAACGATTGCATTCGACAGTCTTCAGCGAAAGGTGGGTGACTGAGGCGAGCTTGGTTCGTTTGAACGGGAATAGCCTTGATTTTCTCTTTTAGGTCAAGCCTACGTCGCATCGGGGTGGTTTCCTGATGATCCCTCCCTCTGCTTAGGTTAGACAAGCTTTTGCGTACCTAGTTAATGTGAGTAAATGTTGTTCCCGGCCTGTTCCCGGCCACTTCTTTGGTTATGATCCAGTTTGAGATTCCCAACACCCCCAGTTTGTTTTTGGGCCCTTTTTATCTCGACTGGGTCAGCTTTATATTCTCCCATGCCCGTATGATTTTTTGAGGGTTGGACGGGCCCTACTAGCATTTGTTATGTTTAATTTTATTTATGTTAATATTTTAGTTTATTATTGGGTTCATCTCCCTCCCCCCTCATCCTTCATTATTAGATTTTTATGTATTATTTATTATCATTAAATTTTTATGGCATGGGGCGCGTTTTGTAGCCCCCCCCCTTTGTGAGGATGTGGTATTATGGTGTAAGGAGGATTGATTGGTGATGGATGAGTTCTTGTTGTGAATGGGCAAATTGTAATAAGTGAATGGGTCGTGAATCGGATTAGCTAGGTATAGGATAGTCAGTGAAGACCAGCCTCAACCCCTCCCCTCTTCAGGCCTTGTGCCACAATTGTATTTTTCGATACAATAAATATTGAATTGGTCAGTCAGTCGATGCCGGACGACCGTTAGTCGGATACTAAAGTATCAGCGACAACAACTAAATTTTCTCTGCTTCATACCTATTATATGAAGTTCCTAACGTTTTGTTCGTCGAACCTATTTTAGGACCGACTTAGTACCAATACAAGCCTACACTGTGAAATCACTCCATAACAAATAATATGGTGCATGAGGCTATTAACAATTCCAGTTGTACTTGGAGCCCACATATTGATTGGAAAAGATTCTAATAATCATTGAGAGAATACCTGTTAGCCTATGTCTCAAGGAAATACAAAAAGTTGTACTCACAAGTAAAGCCCACACCTTACAAATGGCTTTATCTATGTAAAATATGTGTGATTTTTTTTCAAAACTGCTCAGTTGGAGAATGTCATGATGCCATTTCAGACCTTAGTTCTCTGACCGGGAGCCGGAAAGAAATGAGTATACACCAGAAACCAAAGAAAATTGAACAATAATAATAATACAACTGAGAAAATATATGACAAGTCCAAGAAATTAACGTATTTTTCTGGGTAGCAGAACTGCCAAAAAAGCGATCGAAATCGCTATAATATTCAATAAATTAAAAGTTCAAGTGGCGTAGCTAATTAGCCGAATCAAGGGTTTCGCATCGAAAAATTGTGAAAATTAATTGAAACAAAACGTTGTTATTTGCTTATTTCGTATTTTACCAATGGAATATGACCCAGTGCACATGTTAGTATGTCATATGTCCAATTCACAAAGTCGTTTCTTGCAAATTGACCACAGACTCTCGATTGGAAAGTTTCCGAGCCAGTCGATAGTACTTTTATTTGCTCACTGGTAAGGCTTACCAGTGTGTTCCTACAGTGTTACAATTTTCATATGCTTCCTTGGAGTAATAACCGAAGGACAGCTAATCGACAGCCGAGACAATAGTATCAGGGTGTGATAAAATCTGATGCAATCACAGTTGACGCAATATTTTTCAAGGCCAAACAAATTTCATCATACATCCCGAAAATAGATTCATATTACTGCACACCACTGAAAATGACCTAATATGAGAATAAAATAGAAATCTATTACACCCTATCACTCCAGTGGGTCTAAAACCGACCGTATGGTGAAAGAAAGGAAACTAAAAATCTTTTGTTTCAATTAATTTGCACAAGGTTGTAATCGTTTCTAAACATTATGCTTCCGTTCATTCGTTTATTCAGAAAAGACTATAAATATGAGACCTGACAATAATTTTGATAGATTTATCAAGTATCTGGCCCTGATGAACGTTTAGAAGCGAAACTCGTAAATCTTAAACTTTTAATTTTTGTATATTTGATTTAGTTTTACTGTCTTCCTTTATTTTGAAAGTGTTGCTTTTGTCTAAGTCTGTACTTCTGAGATAATTTCATTCTCTCACATTCACAACCCCTCCATCCTCTCTCTCTATCTGTCTATCTATCTATCACTCTCTCTCTCTCTCTCTCTCTCTCTCTCTCTCTCTCTCGTATGTATGCCGACAGCGGAACGAAACAAACAAATGACCAACAATTTAGATTTTGTAGCCACAGGAAACATGTAAATATATTTAAATGATGTGATTTTTAAATCATCGCCAAAGGAAATGTAAATTGTATTGGTGGACAGTGTTGGGCCGCGGGTGACTTCTGTGGATGTCAGTTTTACGTAGCATTATCTCTGAAAACGAGCGAGGCATTTGCTTTGTTTTACATTTCATAGGGAAAGGTATCCATTTTCATCGTTTAAGCGTTAACACTTCATCATTATCTACTAGAAATAAAATTCCGTTTATCTACGCAGCGATATTCTTTTAGATATGGATTGTTAAGAACAATGGATATTTTGTGTCTATTATATGTAATGATCTTCTTTTTTTCATATACAAATAGCCACTCGCAAATGGGATTATGTATAGATATATTGGTTAACATCCATGTTGTGTATTCACAAACTTTTGTCTGATTACGTGTTATCAACGGTGGTAGTGGAGGTTTAGTAAAAAAATTGAATTCTTTTAAATATAGAGTCAACATAAGAAATAGTATAAAAATAATGATTCAATATGATTCATAAAACATAGTAAATTTTATTTTGCTCCGCCACCGTTTACGACTTATAGGAATCGAAAATTTGGGACAATACAAGGTGAATTTTGACCAAGTACTTTGCACACAATTACCACATTTATATTTTTTTAACATCTATAAATATTTGCTGTTTCCTTATAAAGAAACATTTGACATTTATTGGCCCAGTAGCCAGTGCTGACGTCGGTTGAGAATTAGAGAATCTTTCTATTGAAATAATTTTCAGGTATACAGGTTCTCAGGTCCAGTAGTTATTACGCTTTCCACTGATGATGGGGGGGGGCGTTGTCCTTCTTAACTTTTTCTTTGAAGTCGTGTGGAATATCAACATCTTGATTATGTCATTATTTTCTTTTCGAGTTACAATTGCTATCCATTTTAGTTGTTTCCGTTGTAGAAAGTCCTCAAGTTTTGGGGTTTCTGCTATTTTGGTACAGTTCTTTTGATTATGATTCTGTAGCGCCAATCTGCAATGCTGAAAGAAAAATGTTCGTCGCTAACACATAAAGGAGACATTATGTCGAATCCATTTGTAACCATTTGGCGTCATACATGGCATCCACTTGAAAGTTTTGATCTAATGTGTCTTTTTAAGAACATGTGTCGAGTTTTAGATTAATGTTTTGGTTTAATAGCAATTAGAATTCTTGAGTGAAACTACTACGGATGAAGTCTAATAAAATTAATTAAATATAATAGTCATATAATAACTATTGTTTTAGACATTACATGTTTAATACAAATAAAATTTGCACTAATGGGAAGAAGAACAACTTAAAAATTAACATACTAATCTAAGTAAATAAATTTAAATATATATTTAAATTTAAAGAATAAATTTAAATTTATATTTAAATATGAAGAAATACCTCGTTTTAAAGAATTATTTTATATTTCAGGAATCGGAAGAGATTAGAATGAGATTAGCAGGATTAAGTTTCGAAATCCATAAAAAGCAATAGATTAGAAAATGAATATTTATAAATGTATTGATTATTGATACAGAAGCCACTGTTCAATATCCAAGAAAGAAAAGGAATTTACTGCTGATAAGCATTTAAGTAAATCGATTATTCAAGGTGAGTGCACGTATAAATGTAGGTGCCTTTACATCAAGGAGTAATTAGTGAGTTCATCTCGTTTACCATGAACACAGTAATGAGTTCGATCCTCACTAGGTGGCTGTACTTGTGATCTTGTGGTATGCTAAATTGAACTTTGGCCCAGGGTTGTTTTTAACCAATTTAACGAAGGCGATTTGCACTGTGTTAAGTTGAAGCCTTTCTACGGCCTTTCAAATATTTTTATCCGTTTTCTATACAAAGATATCTTAATGATTTTCCGTACAGTTTTATGCTTGTAAAATCATCAAAGTTATCGTTCTTTACCAAATTAATGCTATATCATCATCTATTTCTCACTGGTATATCGAGTGGCGTTCATAAATGATTTGAACGAGATTTTCCTATGGATATCATGCATGGGGCACCTTGTGGCGATGTAATGGTTAACAAGCTTGTCTCACTAGAACAATTAATACTGTGTAGTGAATTCGATCCACACTGGGTGTCTCTTACTTTCGGCCGACATCTAAGCTACGCTTGGAAAATCACTATGGATGCCATGAATGAAGCAAAACATGTTCAAAAACGTTTAGATTGTCAGTTCTATACAGTCGTTTTTTGGGGGTTTTTCGGTCAATTATTTTTATTTCTAATATCCTTTAACACTCACAAACCTCTTCTGTCTTAGTGGCTTTATCGCCTTGCTTGGGGTGAAATTATTAAAAAAGGAACATAACTGAAACGAAACACATGTAATGATAAACCTATACAGAGGAAAAGAATCATGTGCATTGTACGAAATCGCTAAAGTGGGCAGGGTGTATTCAATATTCATTTAAATATCCTACCTTGCTTTTTATATACAGTAATGTTTTCCGTTAGTAATATTTGAAAAGCCTTATATTTTAGCTTTCTTTTCCTTTACCCCAACCAAATGTTCTTTAATATATCTCAATATTTACTCTGGTTTCTATGTTTCTATTTAAATCGTCTCTCTATTTATTTTTTGCGTATACTTTCCTCCACCTGTTTCTCTCTGTCTACTGAGTTATATATATATATATATATATATATATATATATATATATAATGTCTGTTTTTGATGTGATCCTCTAGAATTCTCTTATCGACTTCTTAATGTTGATATTAAATTCATTAAGGAAGGCGCCGTAGTTTTTTCCTTTTTCTTTTCCCAAGAAATCATCTGAGACCACCTTCAGGGGTGAATTACTAAGATAAAAACTTAATGTAACTGATAGTTGTGATCTTTTTTTATAAACACTTATGAACGCGATTTTTTATAATTTTTTAAAGAAATTAACTGGTAAACCGATATTGTTTTTCATATAGTTGATCTAAGGGAGGCAACTTAATCTATATGATTGTAAATTATTCGATGTTGTTAAAAAGAAATTTAAAACATTTTCAAAAACATTGCTATTATAAATAGTTTGATATACTGTTGCTATACTCATAAGTAAACTTATTTAATTTTGATTGTTTGCTTCTTACACTCGAGTATTTCAATTTTTGGTCTGTTATTTTCATGGTGTAAGTATACTAGTGTTATCAAGAAGTATAGGTAGATTTAACAGTTAATTTGTTCAAATTATTCAACGAAACATGTTTAAATGAAGGTATGCTGCACAGGCGAATGTAAATTACTGAGCTCTAATCGCTATTAAAACAAATTCTTCTAAACATTCTGAAAGGCATCACATTTCATAAAAATAAAAATCCGTTTAAGAGCAATTTACATTGTATAGTAAAGCATATTAATAAATCCAACCAATATTTGTTAAATCTGAAAAGCAATAATTTACAATCACCTGATGAGATGCATTAGATACGCATCGAAACACGACTGCAATTGCGTAGCGATTTTGACATGTTTTCGATATATATATATATATATATATATATATATATATATATATATATATTAAAAAACGACAGACAGGGTACTACGGTTGAGCTTTTTATTTAATTTTTCTTGTGTTCGAACAAGAGCTTTCCTTTCTGGACAAAGGGTGTGTAAGAACTGTCCAAATGTTTTATATTTGTGGTAGGGATGTTTTTAATTTCCGAATACGATTAGCACATTGTGGCTTTGTTCGTAGTTAATATTGTTAAGAGTTGGCTTTTTCTTTTTTATTATTAAAGCTTCCATTATTTTTAGTCTTTTTTTGCAAGTGGATGCAGTTAATATATTTGTGTTTTCTACTAGTATGTTCCTAATAGTGTCGGGTAAATCTGAGTGTGTGTTTAAATGTGTTCTGATGGAACTGTGATCAGATAGGTGTAACATAAGACGTCTGGATAAACATGTGGTTGTGTAGCCGATGTAATTATTTATGAGTCCGGTTTGATCAGGAACACAGTTCCTTAAAGGGCATTTGAACTCATAGATAATGTTCGTTCTTTGTAATTTTGACTTAGTTGGTGTGTTGTTATTTTTGAGGATAAGGTTGGCCGTCTTAAATTTTTTATAATAGATAATAAATTTAATTTTTTTATTCGGATCAGTTGGAGTCGCATATTTCTTTAAAATATGCCTTAGAGAAGATTCGCCTTATTTGTAATTAATATGCATTTGGCTTTTGTAATAAATGTGTATGTGATTTTTGGCTGTGTGTTTGCTATCGTTATTACTTGCTTTGGGGAGGAATAGTGTAATTTGTTGGTCTATAAGGTAGTTAGGGAAACCGTTGTTGATTAGTGTGTGTTTAACGTTATTAAGTTCTTTGAGAAATAGTAGTCGAGAGGATGAGTTCTGGTGTGCTCTATTTAGAAAGTTTTTATTACAGCTATTTTGTAACTAAGTGGACATTCGCTTTTGAAATTAAGGTGGTACGAGTTTTTGCTGGTGGTTTTTTTTTTGTATAATGATGTAATGAAAGTGTTATTGCTGTATTCAACGAGGACATCTAAGAATGGAAGTTTGTTTTTTTTTTGGCTAAGTTCATAGGTAAAGTTAAGGACGGAAATTTTCTCAAATGTGTTCTTAAGTGTCTCTATTTCTTTAATGTTATTTGCTAAAATAAAAATATTCTCTATGTAGCGAACATAGATTTTCGGTTTGCGGACCTGTATAAATATCGTATTTTCTACGTAGGACATGTAATAGTTGGAAAAGCATTGGACCGAGTGGATTTCCGATACAAACATCATTAGTTTGGGTGCAAATATTGCCATTATGGTCATAGAAAGGAACTTTGGTTGTGCATGCGTGTAGTATTTTTTTAGGATGGATGGTTTGATAGATGACGGAGGGATGGAATTATTATTGAATACAGAGTTGAGGATAATGTCAATAGTTTGGTCGGTAGTATTAACTAG